GTAAAAATTCCTTAATAATTTTGAAATATTCAAAGTTCAGTAAGAATGCAAAAATTTTAATTTGTTGTATAGTATAATACAGTATCATCAAAAAGTTGGATAACTCATTCTTTTGAAAAGAAGCAACGGGTTTGAGCCACTCCACGTTCATTTGAAACAATTTCAAAAAGTTTTTACATCGGGTTGGATGACAACCATTGTTTTAAAGATTACAGTTGTGAAAAATCGACTGATCTCAATCATTTCTGAGAATTTAAGTATACTGTAAAGGACTGGTACCATTTCTATCGAGTTTTGAACATTTTCCATCTACTTGAAAAAATTCCTTACTAATTGTGAAGTAAGAAAAGTTCAGTAAGAATGTAAAAATTTTAATTTGTTGTATAGTATAATACAGTCTTGTCAAAAGGTTGGATACGTCACTCTTTCGAAAAGAAGCAACGGGTTTGAGCCACTCCACGTTCATTTGAAACAATTTCAAACAGTTTTTACATCGGGTTGGATAACAACCATTGTTTTAAAGATTACAGTTGTGAAAAAATGGCAAATCTCAATCATTTTTGAGAATTTAACTATACTGTAAAAGACTGTCACCATTTCCATCGAGTTTTGAACATTTTCCAATCACTTGTAAAAAATTCTTAATAATTGTGAACTACTCAAAGTTCACTAAGATAGAAATATTTCATAAACTTATAGTTCCTTATTGTAAGGAATTGTCAAAAGGTCTGAAATCCACTTTCATGAATATAATCAACAGGTTTGAGCCAATCCATGTTCATTTGAAACAATTTCAAACAGTTTTTACATCGGGTTGGATGACAACCACTGTTTTAAAGATTACAGTTGTGAAAAAATGGAAAATCTCAATCATTATGGATATTTTGAGTATACTCCAATGGAATGTTACTATCTACATACAGTTTAGAACATTTTCCATCCCCTTGTAAAAATTCCTTAATAATTTTGAAATATTCAAAGTTCAGTAAGATTGCAAACAATTTACTTTGTTGAATAGTGTATTACAGCCTCATCACAATCGATCAGGAACTTTTTTGAAAAGAAGCAACGGGTTTGAGCCACTCCAAGCTCATTTGAAACAGTTTCAAAAAGTTTTTACATCGGGTTGGATGACAACCACTGTTTTAAAGATTACAGTTGTGAAAAAATGGCAAATCTCAATCATTTTTGAGAATTTAAGTATACTGTAAAGGACTGGTACCATTTCCATCGAGTTTTGAACATTTTCCATCTACTTGAAAAAATTCCTTACTAATTGTGAAATATTCAAAGTTCAGTAAGAAAGTTTAATTGTGAAAATGTTGCCAGAATACCAGTTAAAATTGTATTCCGATTGAATTTTACGTAAGCACACCGGGTTTGAGCCACACCAAGCTCATTTAAGAAAGTTTAATTTAATTTTACAACGGGTTTGAGCCAGTCCATGGAGTTGTTAGTAAAGAGTGGTTGGATGAAATCACTGTTTCAAAGATAACAGTTGTGAAAAATCGACCAATCTCAATCATTATTAAGAATTTGAGTATAGTTCAATGGAATTATACCATCTATAGCCAGTTTTGAACATTTTCCATCGACTTGTAAAAATTCCTTAATAATTAGGATGAAGGAAAAGTTCACTAAGAAAAGACAATGTTAATTTGTTGAACAGTATTGTACAATCCCCACCTAAAGGTTGAATAAGTCACTCTTTTGAGAAGAAGCAACGGGTTTGAGCAACTCCAAGCTCATTTGAAACATTTAATAGTAGTTGTTACATCGGGTTGGATGACAACCACTGTTTTAAAGATTACAGTTGTGAAAAATAGACTGATCTCAATCATTATTGAGAATTTAAGTACACTTTAAAGGACTGCCACCATTTCCATCGATTTTGGAACATTTTCCATCTACTTGAAACAAT